CATAATGTGCCGACCCTCCGAATTTATAAGGGCAGGTTATACTTTAAGAATTGTTATCCCAGAATGAGTGTGACGACAAATGAAAATGATGTTCAAAGAAAGATATATACATCCGCTTACGACAAATCAATCAACTCAATGTCTTGATATCGAGTCACGAAGTCTGTCTTTTGTTTATTGGTCATAAATTATAAGAGCTATACATCGCTGGCTGTATTCTGGAGTGATTGTGTATTTTGTGTGATTTATTAGCCATTACATGTTTCATCGAAGGCCGCTAGAGGTCAGTCGGGGTATAGGAAATTTGTATATTTTATGCTGAATAATAATTATTTATTACTAAAGGTCATATGTTCAATACTCTTGTGTCGTAGTTAATAGTCTCCTCTGATTTCTTTTTTTTGTTAAAGTATCACATCAGTCCTCTTCCTAGATTGAAGATAGTTCTTTTGAAAGACAAAGGAAACCCTTTAAAATACATTAATCGCTGTTTTAAAAACAAATTTAAGCCAAAGAAAACGGTACGTTAATACTTTGATGGGAATACGCTTGTTGACCCAAGCCAATATAATATTTAACGTTCTTCTAAAAGTTCGTTTATCGATTTCTTACACGTGATAATAAATTTTATAAGCTTGTTGGCAGGCCGTTGGTCTTGTTAATCTAATCTACATCAGACTCGTTACATCATCAAATTAATTGCTTCTAAAAGTTTTCTTTGTATATCCTTAATAACATTTTAACGTAGATATACATAGTAATCTACGTCTAAATCTAAACTAGTATTATAAACTAAAATTTAAATTTTTTGCCTTTTTGCATGGAACGAATAAACTTAACACGGTCTACTAGTTTTTTTTTTAAATTCCTCACTGAAAAAGTCGCAGTCAAAAGTCATTCGCATTCTGAATTTGAAAATTGATTCAATGACGCTATTACTAAAAATCACTATTTCCTTCTGCCGTTAGTAAGCGATAAATCCAGCTTTAGATGACCGGCGTGTACCAACGTAAATCTGCCTCTTAAATCCACTAGCATCGATCTCAACGAAGCGACCTGCTCAATTTATTGTCTACAACAATATAAACGTTGTTTTGTGTAACTGTCTTTAAATTGACATCGATATTCGTAATGATTTTGTAATACCTGCTATTTGTAAAGTCATAGCAACATTTTTTTTCATATATGCGCTTCAAATTGTAAAGCGTCAAGACATGACGTCGAGTGTGCTACGGCATAGCTATAAAAAAGGTAAAACATAGAGATAGTCGACGCCTGCATACTTTGTACCTTGTAGATGATGCTACTATATGTTATAAAATTTAAATATACTATGTGGCGTAGAGGAAAAATATAAATATGTAAATAACTTTCTACAAAGTATACGTTTATAACAAGTGAATAACAAAAAATGATATGTTCTACGTGATGTAATAACTATAAATATATTTTAGTTTGAAAATGAACGTTACTTTTATTTATGTACAAAAATAAAGTAACTACAAGAAAATCCCATCTTTTTAAAATGAAATGATATGTTAAATGCAGTTTTATAATTCCAGTATTTAAATTTCAATATAATATATTGGAACGTAAACGGAAATTAATATATTGAAAGACATTAACGTATTTTATTAGTTCCTATTCATTGCATTTGATTGATGTAGCAAAAGATGTTGAGTTATTTCAACTTTAAAGATATTAAGTTCATGTTTATTAAAGAAAGGTATCATTTGGAGAAAAAGTAAGTAGGTATGTACTCTTATAAAATATTCATTTTTAATGCAAAAATCTGAAATCCAATTACTTACTTCGTTTTCAGTATCAATAAATCTATCACTTTTTAACGACAAAAAAACAAAGTTTTAAAGTCTAATAAATAATTCAACGTTGTTTCGATAAGTAAATAGTATCGGAAAATCCTAAGCCAACATTTTTTCTTATCGTTTCATAAATCCTAAGCTAGAAATGAGCTTGTTCACGATATTCCACACATTTCATGAACTTGATAGAATACGAAGATTACAAATGGATTTTCAAAATGAATAATTTTCAATGTACGAAAGGAAAAGAAAGATAAATTTAAAGTTGGAATATTATGATCTGTTACTTAAAAAAAACTCAACTGCCTGTAGCCATGCGATACTCCGAGTAAAGTCACGAGAAGACGAATCAAACGACACCACTTAATTAGTCATTACTCGTCAAAATCAGATCAGTGTTTTAAATTCTAAGGAACTTTTATAAAACCCACATGCATACAAACATACCTATAGTATTTACATACGTTGTAAGAATTGTGCGATATTTATTTTTCGAATGCTAGAAAAAATGTGGAACAAATATTTGCTCATCTCTAAGCTATCGTGAAACCTATTCACTGCAGTGAGTGTAGGCAGCGCGTCACTTTCACACTTTATATTTTCAAACGCGTTGTTGTGTTCGAGCTTGTTTTAATACTCCATCGTACACATGGTTTGCTTCTTTTCAAAACAGTTTAGTTTTCCAACATCGTGATGTTTTATACTTTAGTTTCTTCTTACAAATTATTATTAAAATAAATGTTAAGAATATTGAGATTTTGTTTCGATTAAGAATAAAAGCAAATATTAACAATAGTATATATACTGCATGTTATCACCTGTGCAATTCAACCAATTCACAGTTACTAAACAATACTAGTATAAAAGAGCAACAAGTACATCAGCTTCATGGCTGGGTAATGTTCAACAAATTACATTATTTATGTAATTGAAAAACGGATTCAGTGTGTGTCTAGACAGAAATTCAAGCCACGGCCTGTAATTAGTGCCGCCCGCGCTCAACACCCTCATACAACTCAATTACAATGATTGTCGCCTAAATAATAGACTAGATTCTGTATTAAGAACAAAAGACATCGCGAGAATCATTAAAATTAAATTCCTATTTCAACTACGTTTGTAAATATATTTTATATTTATAACTATATCTTGAAATTCAAGAAAAGCAAGGGCCGAAAAAGAATATAATGGCTAAAGCCCGCTACACACTTTCAGATTTGACAGTACAATTTAACTGAAAGTTTGTAGTGGGCTTTAAGAACATACGCCAGTGATTTGTATTCGTTCGAATTTCAAAGCCGCGGTTTCAACAGTTTAAGTCGCCCTAACGATCGCCGACCTTTGAGAGAAGATTGTCCCCTCCGTGTGGCTTCGAGCCTACCGAAGTTGTTACCTCGAGACAAGATACAATATAGGTCCAAAATGTTAATCGTATAAAGCAAAAGAGAAGATACTGGTACTTCAAAGACCAATTGTGTCGAATAACGCAAAGGAGAAGAGTGTTACGATCTCAAACAATATTTGTCGTACGATAACAGTTATTGTTTCCTATTTGGAATATAATTTAATTTTCCTAGAGAAACCCCTAAAGATATATTATACAGCCCTATTGTTGAATATTCATAGAGCCATTATGGCGTCGACAGAGGCGGTCCTGATAAACAAGATATGTCGGGAACACAGATCTGGCTTAACGCGCTTTTTACCGTTACGTCACTTCTACCCAATTACTAACACTAATGTTTAAATGGGTCATGCGTTTGAGCCCATTGTGTATGTTACATTAATCGTAAACTTAAGATGTAACATGCATACTGATGAGAAAGATCTTTAGATATTTGAATTTATTCAAGATCGATTGTTTTTTGTTCATTAAACCTAAATAGCGATATGATATTAATTGCTGTATAAATTTTTTATTTCACATGAAATTAAATAACGCTGGATTTTATCATAAAATTTCATATAGCGATTTTAATATCTAAGAGTTTCTTCACAGCATACGAATTATGAGAGATATCTAATTTCGCACATCAAATAAAATCTGTATTTATTTTCAAAACGGTTTCAACGCTATCATTTAATTTTCTACATGAAAATATAAAAACTCAACATTTGGAACATAATAAAAACGTAAAATATACTCTGTTTCATACTTTAATCACAGTTTATTCAAATTAAAACATTTACTTATATATTAAGTTTTAACTCTCAATTGCTTAAATACATTTGTTTAAAAAAAATAAAAAAATTTACTTCTCGTAATAATTACTGCATTATTAATAGAATAAAACCAAAATAAAAAAATAATGAAATATCTATATTTATAAAGCGAATCCCGAACTAGCGATAATCCCCCTATCCATTAATCATGTTTTCTCCACAAAATGAAAAATGTAAGCGCAGTGTCGCAGCAAAAACACATCAGCACATAAAAATATAATGCGATCTGATAGTAGACAGTATTTTAGCTTTATCGTGTTCATACGTGCGTTCGGGAAAATGAATGGGTCCGTATGTTCTCGCATGGTTCAGCTACGCTTCGCTACGAGCTACGATCGACTTACGATGATGCTAAGTTACTACGGTCACTTGTTCATCCAATAAGTGAATTAAATCTGAAAATGTATATTTCAAAATCCTAAAAATCTGGAACTGCAGATACTTAATTGCAGAAATGAATGTTAAAATTTAACACGTTGCTATATTAGTAGGCTATAAAAAAAATTATATCTTAAGGATATTTGAAATTGCTAACTAAATTGTGGAGTGGAAGTATTCCTGTTGAGAAATCAATATTTCAATCTGGCAGTATAAGCCGGCGAGCGCTCTTAAAATATGGAAGCCGTCCCTTGGCCCTTGCGCAGCAAACTCACAAATTTATGAATTTTATGCGACTTCCTTAGGCTTATTTCTAGCCGTTGGCAAAATTCTTTTATGACTGAGTTTTTGTTATCAAAGTGTGCACGCATAACATATTTAAAAAGCCGATACCGCCCCTAATGTGTCTTTTTACGAATTTGTCTTCGTCACGTGTCAATATTATCGAAAGTAAGATTAATTTGCGACGATTATAAAATGAACTATTAATAATTTGTCAAAAGCAAAAGTCCTCGAATCGGTCTTCGTCATTTGTCTATAAATAATCTAAAAAAAATCAAATGAAAACAACACACATATCAAAATATAAATTTATTATAATTACCAACACAATTTGACAGCTCAAGACTATTTATTATAAATATTTATGGCCAAAACTATCACTTAGGAAATGAAACATATGTACAATCTATCACATACTATGAACCTTCGGCAATGTGACAAAGGAAATCTGAATTAAGTTTTTCTTGCGTGAATCTATTGATTCCTTCTGAACGGACTCTCAATAATAAACTTCGCGGATCAACAAACTCTTAAGAGTAAGGTTGTGTAGTTATTGGTTTGCATCAATTTTTACAAAAATATTTTATCATAAAAGTGTAAAATCTGTGCATTCGTTTTTTTGTTAAATAGAGGTTTTTCAATTGAACATACCTTCATAATATTTATTGATAAGTTCTGGGAGTTTCGGTTTATACCATTCAATATTTTGATATGGTTTAAACTCCAAGTTCATTAGATTAAAAAATCCAAAATCAGTAAAACCACCACGCAGCACATCGCCAAACAAATCATATACATAAATTCAATCCATGATTACTTCAAATAAATATATCACGTCAATTTTAAAAATTACATAAAAAATGATCATTTCCTCGCTCAATCACTAATTAAAATCATGCATCAAGCACGAAGTATTTGTCATTTCTTTCCTAGTAAATCATCTAACAGTTCTTGATTGGACATATTAGCGTCTCCAAGGAGATTGGATTTAGATTCCATTCGCGCATTTCTACGACCTCCCAACGATCGTTTTCGAGCGACTGGTGCTCCTTCCGACAAAACTTGGTCCGTTAGTAATTTAAAGTTATTGTTCAGTTCAGAGAGTGCCTCTTCAGGTATATCTCTGTCAGAATTAACCAAATCGTTTATTTTGTCAACAGCAAACAACTGTTCGACCAATTTATCGCTTTCCAGTTTTGTACTATTAAACTGTTTAATATGACTATCGATAACTTTGCTACTTTTCTCCAGGTCTTGCATAATATCTTTGCAGTAAGTTTCTATTGGTTTGGCTGGTGGTTTTTTGTCCTTTCCGCTAGTTTCGCGTTTAGTCTTTTTGCTGGCGTCTCCTGACGCAAAATCGTGCACAACTATGCTGGTATTAGATTCTTCTATCGTAATGTTTTCATAAAAAGACACATTAGAATTTCTCCGACCTCTAGACTTAGGTCGTTCTTCGTCCATTTCGATTTGCTCTTCAATAGATTCCTCGGTGGACTTCCTTCTCAAGGCGCTGTTTCTTCTCGATATTGGGTCTTCGTTATTTTTAATTTTTTTCAAGAGATCCGCTTTAAGGATCTCCATTTTCTGTTGCATTTCTTCCGGCGAGCAATTTCTAAGAGTGTCATCGTCTGAGATAGCCAAGTCGGCCATACCATCTTGAATGGTCTTGGAAATTTCAGTGATATCGTCGGAACCTTTTGAATTTTTTCTAGTAGGATTTGGTGTTGACTTGGGACCTGTGGAACTGCTACGGCTTTGGATATATCGGGTCCTCGGTTCAGTCGAGGAACTTGTCTCGTCGTCTTGGGATAACGCGCTGCTAACGGATCGTGAATTTTCGCACAGTTTCCCGAGGGCACTTTGATCAACCTGCAATTGTTAATGTCTCTCGCCAAATCAAAATAATACAAGTGCCAATGGAATGTAATTAAAACTATGATCAATGCGAAATACTAATAGAATTACGGAATGGAATGCATATAATAAAAATAAAAATAGATAATAAATGAATGTAATTACTTGTTTAGGAATTACTGACATATTGCAAATCAAGAAAAATTACATTATGGCGTTCGTCGTTTGGTCTATATGTGTTGGCTTCCTGGCCGACCTTGCTGGTCTTGCTCTGAGGACGCGTCAGAATCATAGAGGAGCTGCTTTTCACTGGAGACTTCACACCGCGGCTCGCTGCAGTACTGAGCATCTTCTCTTTCATCTGTTGGTACAACGGCAACATTAACCTATGTCCAGTAACGCGTCACGTAGTAAACACAGGTCGTAAATATCGTAAATATATTTTTTTTCTATAACGCTATGCCCTTTTTTGTATCCATTAAATTTCCCAGCTTAACCCCTCAATGTAAACTTATGTTCTTGGATTTCAATAAATTATAGAGGTAGAGTTACACTTCGCCGTTTAAAGTTCAACAAAACAATGGAACAGACCTCAATTATGGTGGATAACTTGTCAGCATTGCTGATGGCGATGTCGAGGTCGTGGCGTGTATCCTTGTGCTTGTTGACCTCGGCCTGCAGCTGGTGCCGGAAGTTCTTGGCCTCGAGAGCTAGCCGCCGCTGCAGCAGGCTGATGGTCTCGCCCTGCTGCTGCACCTTCAGCGACAGCTCGTTCACCTGGGCCTGCAGCTTCTCGCGTTCCAACAGGTTCCTGCAACGTTCAAATGTCACAGTTGATAAGAAACAGTCCATTGAATACTTTTCCATAGAGTAACTAAGCTTTTTCAATTTTTTCTGCTTGACAGAGTTTCATTTAATGCTTGGCCAATGACTTTCTGTGATGGTTACGGTTTTTTTAGTTGGTGTAAGACCTTATATTTTTGTTGGATTGTGTACAGGCTTTGTATATAGTTTAGTACTTGTCTTTAGTGAGGTCTAGCAGATGCTGGTGCTCGTCACGCAGCTGCTGCAGCTGAGCATCACGTTCCTTGAGCCTGGCGACGGTCTCCTTGTGCTGAGCGCGGAGCTGCTTGTAGCGCACTTGTTGCACGCGCATCTCCTCCGTGTGCGAGTTCAGCACTTGAGGCAACTCCGCGTTAGAGTTCTCGTATCTAATCAACAAAGATGATTGAAATAAACATGAACGCCATGAGGCATTTAGTGTTATCCTGTCGCTCATAAGGCCATATAGTTAATACGCCGTCCCAGCAATAACGTTGTAATTTTGTGTTCAATTTACCTTTGCAGTGCTATTTCTTGTTTTTTCTGCATAGCTCGCAACACTCTATTCTCATTACTGAGTTCCTGAAATAATAAATAGCTAAAGATTAGCAATACCTACACTTAAAGAAAAAATAAATATATTTTAAGTCGAAGGACAATTGCAAGTGTAACCTGCAGATGATAATGCGCGTCTGCCAGTTGGTTCTGAAGCTGCTTGACGCGGTGCGTCTTGGCGGAGAGTACGCGCTGCGTCACGTAGCGGTCGCCCGACACGCCACCCGCCATGCCCGCTGCGCCCGCCGGCACCATGCGCTTGCGTTTACTCAGTAGGTTCAGTCGCGAATTGCTGCTGTACACGCTCGCCACTGACTCCTTTCTGGCGCTTTAGATATTCAATTAAAGTTAGAAATTGGTATAAGTTGCTCAGAACCAGGGTGTCGACACATACAAACCTAACCATGTTCTATTTCAAAAAACTACCCTAAAAATCAGGCTCTCCCATTTTCAATTTGTCTTTATCTTATGCTCCATATTGTATCAATTGATGAAAATCATTAATGTAAAAGCTTTGGCTACCATATTTTTCTTTCTAACTCATTCGATCCAAGCTCACTCACAATCATAACATCTAAAACTTTATTGAAACTACAAAGTAGAATACCTGAGATCTTTTCGTTTATCTTCTGGAAGCAAACTCAATACTGACATTATCTATTATCACATAAATATACACATTCTCAATATAAAACGAGAAAAAAAGCTCACAAAGGGGCTGATTTTAAATAATTTTCCAATCTGTGTTGTTATAACAGTGTTACCATGGCAACCGGTACACCGGTGACAATCGATTTCATTTACAATACCAACAATCAAATATGAATTAAGCCAGTGACATAACCACTGACCTCTATAAATGGATTGGCTATAAGACGTAGTATTTTGTGCGTATTTGATTTTCACCATTTTGGCGCTGATGGGTACAGTTTGTAGCGGTGGAGGGGATTCAAACTAATAATTTAGAAAGAAATAACTGTCAAGTAACATCAATAGGTGCTTTTATATTGAAACGAAGGTAATGCTGTCATTTTCAAGCAATCGCCTGTCCATTTCTCTCTAAATTCTCTAGAACAGTATATGAATTAGAGATATGTTTTATTTCATACTAATAAATAAAATCCAATCTGCTTTATACGTTGAGTCTTGGTAATCCGTAATTCTCTGTTGCATCACAAGTATTTTTTTAGTTATCAAGTTTCCTTATCAATAATTTCAATTCTGTCCGTCATCAGCTATCACTCTCGGAGTTCAAAGCCTAAACAAATTAAAAGTCACGCCGGCCTGGTGCGAGTTAGTTCTTCATATATGTAAATCTTACATTGCGGGGAATCTTGCTCATAAGGTAAATAAAACATGAATAAAAACAAAATAATATTCTTATTTAACAATAAACTGTACAGAGTCGCGACTTGTATTTACATATCTCTCGGCGCAACAACTACTGCAACATGTCATACAACATTCAGCTTTATACAAACGTACTACAGTTGCAATTTACATGTCTCACTTTTACTTTTGTGATAACATTTTACAAACCAATTCCATATTTTTATATGTTACAAATTTTTATGTTTCAAAAATATATATTTTAAAATTACTAAACAGTTTAAGAAACTTTTTTAATAAGTCAAGATTAATAATTTATATTTTGAATAATTATTTGTCTGGCGGCGATTTATTACGATTATTAAAACTTTAATTTAAATATTAATACAAAATAATTACAAATATAATTTAAGAAATCTAAGACACTACATTCAAAAACTCTTTGAGATCGTAGATAAGATCTTAGAAATCTTTTACATAATAACATATATGTTATATATTTTATTTACATCTGTTCACATAATAAAAATTTGCTAACTCAATAAAATACTTGATGTATTTTAGTTAACCAGTCTCACAAACGCCAGCTACTACACGCTCACACAAATATCTGTATTTAAACTATTTGACAGGAGACAGGCGCCATCTTGTATCAATTAATGTGTTCCGATACTCAAATTTAAGCTTTTCTGTGGTCATAATAAAAAATCTCCTTAGACATAGAACATGACGTTAACATAAAAGGATGTTGTATCATTTTTTTGAAGTAAACAAGGGGGGCGCTAGTGAGCTGACATAATTTAGTTAGAGTTATGCCCACCAGTATAGTAAGTTTGTGTGGGGCGGCAGAGTGAGGTGTAAGCAGAGTGCTGTGTTCACTTGTCCCTGTTCTGCTTGTCCCAGAGGCGGCGGTAGAGGGAGTCGTGCTTGTTGAGGAGGTCCGCGTGCGTGCCGCGGTCAGTGATGCCGCCGTTCTCCAGCACCAGGATCTCGTCCGCATCGGCCACTGTGGAGAGACGGTGCGCGATGCAGATGGACGTCCTGCCCACCGTCGCCGCCTTCAGCGCCTGCAGGATCGCCTGGAGTACGCACAGTTTTTGTCATTAATGTTTGCTTTAATTCCACCCACTTGGATCAAGTTACACTGGGGTCAAAGATGCGTGTTTTTGCTTATAGACAAAGTAACGCTTGGCCCCAATGTCACCTGTTATAAAATGAGGAGAGATTTAAAATCGATGGATGTTTTGGTCATAACGTATTTTGATTAGTTTTATTGTTTATTTTAATGCGGGTTTAGACTGCCGTGATACTGGTATCGGTAAATACAAATGCCAATGAAACATAATTTATATTAAACTAGCAGTCGCCCGCAACTTGTTCCGCACGGAATTTTAAAAAATCTAATGATAAATATAGGTTTAGCATTTTGGAAACCTATTCAATGCAAAAAACAAGAAATAATCGAATCTTTCCTCTTTGTAATATTAGTATAGATAAATTTCCATCATCAGATTGTGTGAACTTACGCTTTCAGTGATGGAGTCGAGGCTGGAGGTGGCCTCATCAAAGACGATGATGGGTGAGTCCTTGAGTATGGCGCGTGCGATGGCGACGCGCTGCTTCTCCCCGCCCGACAGCTTCAGGCCGCGCTCGCCCACCTGCGTCTCGTACCCCTGCACACACATACACATACACTGTACACACATCTCATGGAAAACAATCGCTAAGAGTCAAATATTTATATTGAAGATTGTCAAATGAAACATTGGTTACCGTTCATACAGTAATTTCCTTCAATATTTCACATTAACTTATATTTTTTCCAGATAAATAAATTATAAATAACCTTAGGCCAGGTGACGACGGAGTTGTGCAGCTCGGCCATCTTGCTGGCGGTGTAGACGTCCTGGTGCGGCCGGCTCAGGTCTCCGTAGTGCAGGTTGTGGAAGATCGTGTCGTGGAACAATACGCAGTCCTACAAACATATATAAATAAACAATTGCCCGTGACTTCGTCTGCGCAAATTAAAAAAAAATCTAGCCTATCTAAACACATAGAAATTGTGGGGTTTCCCAATAATTAATGAATTTTTCAAATTGGTTCAGCAGAGACTATTTAATACTTACAAACAAACAATTAAATCTTTGCTCATTATTAGTAATTATTTACTAATTAGTATAGACAAACATACAAGAAAGTTATAGCTACATTTTTTATTTTATTCTTTTTTTTTATTTTTTAGTTAAAATGTTACCTGTGGGACGATAGCAATAGCTCGTCTTAAACTGGTGAGGTCGAGGTCCTTGATGTTCTGTCCCGCGATGGAGATCTGTCCAGACTGCGGCTCGAAGAACCGGAACAGAAGCCGCACCATCGTTGACTTGCTACAAAAGCATCACAATTCAAAATAAATATCGTTACATGTTAGTAACGTGAATAGGATATTGACGACAGAGGAAGAGTGAGAGATAGATGGAGATAGAGGTGGGTACCCGCTGCCGGAGCCGCCGACGATGCCGATCTTCTTGCCGGGCGGTATGGAGAAGCTGAGGTTGTTGAAGATGGGCTTGCCGTTGATGTACTTGAAGCTCACGTCCTTGAACTCAATGCTGGCAGTCTGCGCAGTCACATTCAGCAGCGGCGCCTTCGCCTTCTCCTGAACATTCCAATAAAGTGCTAGCCATCTCTCTCACACGTATCACAACACGAGCGGGATAACAACAGTAGATCACCTTGATCCTGGACTGCACGGTCATGAGCGTGAACATGGTCTGCATGTCGATGAGCGCCTGCCGCACCTCGCGGTACACCGAGCCCAGGAAGCCCAGCGGGATGGACAGCTGGAACAGTAGCCCGTTCACCATCACCAGGTCGCCCACTGTCATATTGCCTGTCACAAACAAACATTTTAAACTAGAGCAATCTCTTCAAACTTATTTCGAACCTTATTTAAAAGTGCTAAGGTTCAAATTGCTTTGCTCACAAGGAGATGTGATCTAGACCATACTTCAACGTCGCTCAGTTGTAGGTACCTTGTGCTATCTCCTTGGCGGCCATGATCATGATGATGCTAAGACCACCGCTGAAGATGGCGTGCTGGCCGAAGTTGAGCGCCGCCAAGCTGGACGCGGTCTTCAGAGACGCGTCCTCGTACTTCTTGAGACTCTGGTCGTACTTTTCTAATTCGTATTTCTCGTTGTTGAAGTACTGGAAATGTTTACTTAGTTAGAAAAATGTAAATTAAATAATTGAATGAGTTAAATGAATGAATGATGTAACTTTAACTTCAATGATTTACAGACAAATTAGTTGTCGTCCGCGACTCCGTTTGCGCGAAATTAAAAAAAAAACAAAACTTGACTAGTAGCTTACGTGTTCTAAAAGAATATTGTCAAATTTAGAGAAATTTAAATGAATGAATGAGTGAATGGTTGATTGAATGATGAATGATGAGTGATAAGAGCGGCAGTTACTTTAACAGTTTCGTAGTTGATGAGGGAGTCGACGGCCTTGTTGCCGGCCTCGTTCTCCGCGCGGTTCATGTGCACGCGGAACTTGGTGCGCCACTGCGTCACCGCCAGCGTGAACGCCGCGTACACGCCCACGCAGCTGAACGCCACGCCTTACCCCCCCACCCCACCCCCACCACGCCCACACACACATACACACACACACATATGTTAACTTAATAGTTATACTTTATTACATATAAAGATCACAGAAATGCATTTATTGAATGTACATTGCTATTAATATAATACAAATTTATCTAAAATCGTTACTATTTATTAATTTTAAAAAGATCAAAAGTTGCAAAATGACTTAAATCTGGAAATCTAAGAGAAATCACCAGCTTTTTAGTAGAATCAAGAAAGTGTAAGACTTACCTGCAAAAGCGAAGCCTCCTTTGAGTCCGAGTATGGAGGAGACTAGCGCGAGCTCGAATATAGTCGGCACTACATTGAACACCATCGCTGATAACACGAAGTTGATGGCCCTCGATCCTCGGTCTATTGTCTGGAAACACGATCCATTCGTTTGTTTAACTAAAATTATACATTGCTCCCTCACCAATTCACTTGTTATTTTAACACATTCAATGCCACCAAAACTTCCAGTGACTCACTTTAGTATGTAGAATTTGTTGTGGCATTGAATGTGTTAAAAGGGGAATCCATTTTGACAATTTTGATAGACAAGAAAGACGTGCACACCTTAGAGAGAGCTCCGGTTTGTCTGCCGAGATGGAAGCTGAGGTCGAGGTTGTGGAGGTGTGTGAAGACGTTGCAGGCGAGGCGACGTATGGAGTGCTGCGCCACCTTCGCGAACACCGCGTTGCGCAGCTCGTTGAAACCCGCCGCCGTCGCGCGCGCTATGCCATCTGCTCACATCACAGTCTTTGCACAATTTGCTCATAAACCAATGTCCTTGTACGATTCAACACTAAACGAATTATTACCTTAAATGGTAACTTTTGTGTTGCTTATTTGTTAACATAAATCTTACTAAAATTACAAATTCGAATATGTGGATGGATGTTTGTTTGAAAGTATCTCCAAAACGAATGCATGGATCTCTCTGAAATTTGGCACAGATGTAGAACATATTTTGGAAGATCACATAAGCTACTAATTAGGTTTTTTTTTTCGCTAGTAGTAAATAATTCAAACCAAAAAATTGTAATAATAGTTTTATCAATGTTGCTTTTAATAGGGAAGTTTTAATATAAAAATCTTTACTTACATCCAACTAATAAACTGAATGCTGTTGTACCGAGGGCTTGTGGTACAGTCGCCATACCCAACAATGCATCACCCGCTGGCGTAGTAGTTATTTGGTTAACCTCATCCACTGCATACTTGAATAAGAATGGAACAGAGACATTCATCACCTTCGCACCAAATAGAAGGGAGAGAGACAACATCACACGGTTTCTGATCATCGCATTATCCTGTAAAATATTAATACAACTTTAATTTTATCAGTCACTAGCTGTCGTCCGCGACTCCATCCGCAAATAATAACAACATTTTTAATGTAAATTTTTCCAAAATCCATACAAAATTTAGTTTGTTATTAACTCACCCTTGGCCATACATACTCCATCATGCCCCGTATCATGTCCATTCCGGAAACAGGTTTCGCATCACCCAAGTTAATATCTTCACGGGACAAAACAGAGGCACCTGGGTGAAAGCAGTCTCTCTTTTGGATACCTAGGGAGGGGACATTATATCAGGACTCTTTCAGGATTCAGGTAACTCAATAAATGGAATACGGATACAAGCGGACAAAACAAACAAGGATAATGTGGGAAGGATGAAAAGAGCTGCATTCCAACCAAGTATTAACATAAACATGAAATGGTATAGCTGTGAATATAACATTTTGAGTGATGAATAAATTATTTAAAATTAAATACAAAGTTATGCAAAGGAACAACTTTAAGCAGTGTTTAAAATAATTCAAAAATTAGTACTAATTTACTACTGAAGTAATAAAATAGATATTTTTATACAAAAACCAGTTTTTTACATATTCTAAAATATTTTAATTATGTTATGGTACTTTTAAAGGTGTGTAAGATAATTATGAAATATGCATAGTTAGAACTTATAGGTATATCTTAATATTTAATTTCTTTTATCTTTAATATTTACTGTTGTAACTTCTTCAAAAATAATGGATAATTTTTCAGGTTACACAGTGCTAAGAACCAGAAAAAAACTATGAAACAAGGAGCTATTTTTAATTGCAAAATAGCTGACATATTTTGTTTAAAAAACAAATAAGAAAATATGGTCTATATTTGATCAAAATATACTGTGTTTACACTGAAAATGAGCATGTTCTTGTTAAATGTCATGAAACACTTCATGAAATTATCACAGTACATTTTTGAAATACATAAACTATGTACATGATTTTTATATTAGTACCATATTTATAGCTCAACATTACAAGGTCAAGTTTAGATTACGCAATCCTGTGTATTTATGGAATTTATAAAACACAAAAAAGAAAATTCAATGGAAAATTGTTTACCGATGCCTTTTATAACTTACCAACTGGAATTTTTCCAGTTTTTGGCTTGTTTGCCAGCACCGCCGCCAAAACATTTTTCGCTGTATCAGATCCAGCTGCATTGTTTGGAGAAGATGATGAATAGTACTAAAAAGAAAACACAATTAGAAATAATTTACAGGACAAAAACAAGAAAGACGTAATTTTTTATCAAAACAGTGGCACTTCGCACACATAACCTACCCTGTAATAACTAGCCGAAGCACATTGTTTACATATAATACTAAATTGTGGTTTATTTAATACTACTGATTTAATATTACAAAAGGATCTAGTAAGCTTTATATGATTATGAATGAATTTATCAAATTTCCTGTTTGACAGCAGTGCCGCCGCCATGGTCGTAGAGTGACAAACTAATGTCACTTCATGTCCAATGTCAATATTTAATGAAATGATAACAGTGTTGTCAACACAAAATATGATAAAGAAATTATCTTCCAAACCTCCTTTGTTCTTTTGTATGTGTCCTTATCAATAGCTTTAGGATAAATATAAAAGTAACAAATACATAAATTAACTTCTAAACGTTACTATTTCAGTCCAGGACATTTATACTTCGAATCAGTATTTTAGTTTATAGTTAACACCACAAAAACCACGATTAGATTCCGTTCTTTTTCACTGTGCATTAAGCTTTAGTATCCACCAAGCCCCAAAATACACCTTGCCATTCTTCTACTTTTTCCCATCACTTTCTTCACAGCCAGAATTTCAAAAAACAAAGTACCCATCGGTTTTCCTTGTAACTGTTGCAGTTGTATGCAAAAATATAATTAGAAATCTGGTTCTCACACGCATTCCTGCCTTTTTTTAATGTATCATAATTATTTGGTTTATTTATTAACTACCAATTCAAATGGACTTTATAAATTCATAAAAAAACATAATTTTCATCTAACATTTAATAAATTTCTCTAATATCATGACATGTTGACACATAAGTTCTACACAGTTATTTAAAATAACACAGTCACAATTATAGCTATTTAATTTACTAATTGAACATTTTATTTCGCCCAGTTTCTCCTTGATCATAGGTATAATTAAATCTATAAGCAGTCTATCATCAGAGCAAATGGCAGCAGAATAGATTAACCGACTTACATCAGTATTTTCCTTATAATAATATTTAGCAACCATTAACAGGCCATAGAAATTAAAACTGAGCCCCCGCAAGTCAATGTACAAACCTTTATTCAAATTGTGGTTACTGATAAATGTTAATTGATCTTGAGAAAAGCGAATTGTTTTAGAATTTAAAAATGTTTTTATATGGTTAAAGCTGAAATTGACGCAATCCAGTTCGTTCGCTGGAATGCAGAAACCATACTCTGTAATTAATTTTAAGTTATGGCTGTCCCCGTAACAAATAAACACCTGGGAATGGGGTTTAAAATTGTTTTTTGTATAAATAGAAAATTGTACATCTGTAAATATCTCTTCTTGTATATTGTTTACTGAAACATTTTTTATATTTCTACTTACTACTAACTTAGTTTCATTCTTTGCATTCGGGCTGTGGTTTATCATATCTAAGTATGGGCAAAGAGATATCTTTGTATTATCACTAACCATTGCAATAATGGAACATTTGATATCTTGCAAATCAATGACATTAGTCAAATCCATGAAAACGCAACGTGTGTTCACTGTGAAGTAGGCCCACTCAAATACAGACTTAGTAAAATACTTTTTTAACTTATCTATTGTTACATTCCTACTTGTGGTATTGTTTAAAATTTCCTCAAAAATATTAAAAGATTTTTCTATTATATCTTTCTGTTTTATAATCACAGATATTATATCTTTATCTATGTATGATAGCAATTCACTTGGTAAAAAATAAGGAACTGTGTACTTTTTAGGTAAGCTCTCTAAATAAATATGCCATTTCGTTTCTGAACCTTGTAGTTTAAGATAAACTAGATAAAATGACATTAATGCCTGGAATGATATTGCCCGACTATATTCTATGCAACATTGCTTCCGATTCTCTAAAAATATACTACAAAAGATTTTATCTATTACCAAAGTTGTTACATTAATAGTCAAGTTTAAAGGAAGGTTAATTAGTTCATCGCCGGCACAAATCTTCTTTTTTGTGAGCACTCCACGTCCAGTATCTTTAAAAACTGCTAGGCCCAATTTTTTATTTCGCTGTACACCATGTTTTATCAACCAGGAGTTTAAGGATATTAATTCCTCGCTATTATTACATTTGCAATAATCGGGATCTTTCTTTAATTTTCTTTTTCGTTTAGTTCGGCCCATGTTACTTTAGTGAAACATTGTCAATTTTTCTTTACAAAATAATGAACAATGTATTCTTAGTAGCACTTTTACTCTAATTTTCTAGTATTTCAAACAATTATTGTAAGCTTTGTATCAAAAACTTAATTATCGATTGATTTTAGGTTGTAGATGATATTTATGTTTTTATTTATTTATTTATTGTTTGACATTGACATAGCATGTCAAATTGAGTAAACCCTAAAAGTTGTTGCCATTTTCGAATAAGAAGAGATCATAATTCAAAAATCTTTTTTACGCATGGAAAATTAACGATCGGTTTTTTCGAATTCCTTTGAATTATGTCAAGGACACCTATCTAATAGCTTTTTGTGAAATGTATCCATACGGAGAACTTTTCATTTTCTGTTTGTGTACCTTCTGCGAATTCAAGTGACACAGATAGTCTTTGACGTTTAGACCCGGTTTGAAAATTGTTTGAAAATAACGTCTCTTAAAACGAGTAGAAGTTCGAATTTTCGAAAATTGCGAAGTGTTTCATTGAGTTGTGTGATTTTTAAACAAACCAAGTCTATTTTACTACGATGTCTCAACAACAAACGAAAAACAGTATAACACTAAAAGGATCTGCTCAAATAATTTGCGAATATCTAAGTTAGTAGAAATTCCTTTTTTTTTTAAATGTTTGTGTTTTTAAAAACCATTTTATTTTGTAAAAAGGAATATTGTAAATCAGCTTTAATATCAGTTAATGTTTCATTACAGGGTTTGCCATCAATTCAGTTTTATTTCAAAGGGGTCTGTACCCACCGGAGTCATTCAAAGCAGAACAAGAGTATGGTTTAACATTACTTATATCTGAGGATCCACTTATCAAAGGATTTATTTCAGACATCTTAAAAAAGAGTGAAGGTAATTATTAAACGCATCAACTTATTACTTATACAAACTTGATAGATAGAGAAGGTCTATTAAATTTGGAATACATTATAGTGCTTTTACTTAAATTATAAGCATAAAAATTAAAATATTTATTAATCAAGGTTACTTTATATTTGCATACATGTCTCTCAGCTGTAATAGTCTGTTTAGGGTATAAACAACCTATCACATGATCATAGCTTCGAATTTGGCTTGTTGTAATTGTTGTATCCTGAAGCTTTAAGCTTAGTTAAAATTGTTAAAAAATTACTAGTAAAAATATCTTTATAACATAAACATTCTAAAGTAGATAATTTGTTTTTTCAGAATGGATTCTCAAAAAGGAGGTTAAAAAGCTTTCACTTGTTATAATCAATGTTTCAAATAGAGAAGTACTTGAATGTTGGGATTTCAATGTTCAGTATGAGGAAGGGGATGTTGTGTTATCAAAAGAGAAAAACGAGAAAGTAAGCAGCAAGGATTTGAAGAAAATTCAGCTTGAAATAAGAGATGTTATGTTACAAGTGGCCGCGACTATATCTTACTTGCCACTGTTGGACTGTAGGTGTTCATTTGATATTTATGTTCATGCCAACCCTGAATGCAACATACCTGAGAAATGGATGGAAGCTGCCCCCATCTGTATATCTAATGCTCAAAATGTGCAACTCAAATCATTCTCAACTAATCTTCATAAGATGGATACTGTTGTTACTTATAAGCTTATGGATTAAGATTGTTAATTTTATGAATGTAATTTTCCGAACAAAACTCAAAATGTTGATTACTACAGCTTGACTGAAATTTAAGAGTTTTAATATTTTTTTTATTTATGCCCTGAAACAAATATGAACAACAAATATTTTAAAATAAAATAAATAGGAAAAGTGTTGATTTTCTAAAATTTCCGGTAAAAGAGAATCAAATTTTAGTATCAACATTTTGAATAAAGTGCTACGCTGTCGTATTTAATGTAAGAATTTATTTCAATAATTATGATATTGTAATTGGCCTAATTCGTTTTTTTAATTTATTTATTAGTAATTAGTACCAAAGATATATTGGCAGTTAACAGAATCAAAAAGCAAAACAAACGGCTTAGGAAAATTGTTATGATTAAAATAACAGTTTTGCGTAATGTTTAGTGACACTTTTAGTTTTCTTTCTGAGCATACTTAACATTATTAGATTACAGTGTGTTAAATAGTATTTCATTTAAAATTAAGTTAAGTAATTTAAGTCTTTAAGATAAAATCTAGCATTTTAAGTTGTAAATATATTTTAATTTTTTCAAGTTGATATTTAATAAATTTTTTGGATTTAATATTTTTTGTTTAATTTATTTAAATATATAATTAGGTACATCACTAACCGCGAGCTTCCAATAAACTTCAACCGACTACAAACATTTTTAATTTTTTCAAGCAAAAGGGACTTCAATAAAAGACTGGGAAAAGAAAAACAACATGATTTTAATACAGTTTATTAAAATAACAAAGCACTTAATGCGATTTAAAAGCTACAATAAATAATTTCTATTCAGCAAATAATACTGTACAAAATTGTTAATACAACTTAACATTTCTCATTCAGAGATTGTAGAGACAACAAAAATACTAAAACTAAATTGTGTTCGCGAACTTTCCAAAGTGAAAAAATTTTACATACATATTTTAATGCGTAAGTCTCGTGTCGAAAAATATATCGTTTTAAAATAGAAAAAAATGGGTTTATTTATTAAAAATTGCCGAGTTACTCATTTAAATTATTAAATGAATAAAAATCTCCACAACGGTGCTGTAAGATACATTTTTATTAGGTTTTGTCTCTATTTCACTCTACAAAAATAAGTACATTTTACAATGGCTTAAAATGTTAATTGGTCATTTACATATTTTATATGTCTTAAGTCATTAGTCCAGTCAAAGTGATAATTCGCTTTATTTTTATAATTGTGTTTATATTATAGCATTTGTATTAAAAAGTGTACTTAAAATATGTGCGGTGGTCCATTTGTTTCAAAATCAATTTTATATTTGACAATATTAAACACTAATTTCATATTCATTAGAATGTAATATTAAGTAGGTGGTATGTTTGTTATATTTAACAAAAATTACACGGTTTTTAAAGGATATCATAGATTCATAAATTATTTAAAAGATTTAGTTAACATCGTAATCGTACAATGCCTGAGTTAGTCGTACATATAAAACCGAAAAATCCTAGTGTAATTTAAACTTAACATCAGAAAGTTGTATTCATTAAGAGTATGTCGGTAAATATATGTATTTTATAAACAGGAATGCTTGATTACGATCATACGATGAGCAATTCTCGATTCTAGTCTTCATAATGAGTCAATTTCCATGTTTCACCATAGACGTTCGCCCATACCTGGAAATAGAAAGATGTCTTTTATTCTGTTTATTTTATTTTATTATCTAATAAGACCTGTTTTACTTGAACGTATATTTGTAAAATAATTTAAAAAAAATGTTTTAAAGGCTAAATTATTAGTTTCAACATAACCGTTTAAGCAGTGAAACATATCTTTGCGGTATTCAGTTAACTAATATTATATACGCTATTCTAAGTAAAGAACTAAACTTTGCAAACAATCATTTTTACGCTAAAATTAATAAAAAAACAAAAATTTTAAGTATACGCACACATTTTAAAATTGAACTTAACTGTCATACACAACTCAAATAAAATACAACACTTTCAATGAAAATAATAACATTTTTTTTAACAGCATTAGGTGACATATTACGCCGAATTGCTGCTACTTGACGCCTGTCTTTTGTATAGTCGTGGTATAACACCGCACGAAACGGATCATTAGTGCAAAAGTTGTTATATCGGGCCTTACCTCTGTACATTTACCATGTTTATTTGTTTACAATGTTTAAGCCTTGATTTGGAACAGAGTATACAAAAAGATGCCAACATGCTATGTTACTATCGGCTTAGTTATTGTTATCTCACAACAAATACTAAGTTTTATAAATATAATGATAATAGACATGCAACAAGCATGCTACATCTAGACATTAGTAATTGTGATTAAGCATTAGTGACTGGAATAAATGAAAAAATGTACAATAACTTTGTGAACATTCAATGATAGCGTGTAAATAACATTTTTTCATTTCAATGCAATAATGAGTGCTGTATGGATGGTATTGTGCACGACGGGAAAAAATTTAATTTTGAAATACATACCATTTACTTCATTCCACCATATTTTGTTCTCATTTCGTGCCAAGGGTAGGATATTTATACGAAAGAAAAAAAAAACAAATTAAAATTATTGCCTCTCTGTTAATTCCAACACTCATTCTTTTATTGTGATTTGGTATATTACAATATAACATGTTTGCTGTTTTAATATTTGTTGTGAGAATACAAAAACTTTTGAAAAGATGCAACGACGTCATTCATTAAGCCGGGCAAATAAATTATAGCTTTCTATAGTTTTGGGGTGTAACTTTTTATAATTTTTTTCTAACTAATAAGTAGAATCACACATTTTTTGGAAAATAAAAAAAATATATTTAAATAATATCAGACGTCATTCCACCTTCATAATAATGCCCTAGTATCTCAAATAGCATAAAATAAATAGTCCCTTTACTAATTAATTACATATAAATAATGAACTTAAAAATAAAAGTTCTTTATACAAGAAATGTCATAAATTCTGCATGTGCTATCGACTATAGTGCCAACATTGGAACATCACCGAATTAGTCAATCTGACAGCTGCTTAGTGCATATGAATTACTATAAAATCAATTTCCATGGTTAAATGTGTATCTATTATATAAATTTAATTTAATTAGTTTTGTTCAGTGATATTCCATAATGCATAATTTGAACGTTATAATAATTCTCTATTTTTGATCGCAAATAGGAAAAAAAGATTTCGCTACATCAACAACCAACGACTCATCCTATTAGCCACACTCATTAAATTATATAAATTAATTAATATAAGCCTAACTAGTTTTTTTAAGTAATAAAACTGCTGTTTGACTAGGTGGAGTATATCGGATTTTCGAAATAATTTGGGAAATATTTTTAGATTTAAATGTTTGGCCAATCCCGCCACGCGCCTGTCATATGAAATATTTATAATTTGCAAATAATTGTAATACTTTATTCATGTCCGTATAATATTAAGGCACCTTACTTTCTTAACACGATATTAAACTACTTTTAATAAAAAAATTAATTGTTAAAATTTAAATTTTAGAACAGTAAACACTGGCAAGAAACTTGTCATTTTTCCCGCCAAAATGTAAAACAAGTGCGCAGCGAGTCGGTTCGAAATGTGAATATTGTGTTTAATTTTCGCATAAAAATTATTACTTATCCTATTAGATATGTACAAAACTTGCAAGTCTCTTCATCAGGATTTTACCCACTAAAACGAGTTATCAAACCTTAACGAGTTAATAACAATAAAATAAATCGCAAAATTACAAAATACAGTGTAAAATATTTACAACTTTAAACATAGGACGCCATAATAAGGTCTTCGTTCACAAACTGATTAACTAGAAAAGTATTATAGATTTTTAATTGATTTTCAACTTCTCGTTTCGAATCGAATTCGTTAAATATGTTTTTCTTAATTTGTTTCAAAAATACTAATCTTTAAAGTATATTTTTCTTCGATAGTACCTTTTATGTAAACAACCAATAATCATCACAATAATTGCATAATTTGAAACTACATTGCAATCTCATAAACAGGAGAGACATGAGTTTCCTAATAAACATGTTTATCACTTTGAAATGGTGTCGAGTCTGGATCTTATTTCATCAAATACTATTAACGCCAATTGCCTCATTGCCTTAACAATAAAAATGTCATTTTGCTATTTTGTATCCTAATAAAATAAAACCAAATTTTAAATAACGTCCTATTTTCAAATATATACGCGTGATTAATAAATTTGTGATTAACCAGATTAATTTGTTACTGGGCGTTTTATTTCTAAAATTGTACTAGATCTATCCGGCATGGTTTAGTTCATAGACCAAAATACTTTACAATTACACGAAGACTTTTTGATAGTTTGCTTGAGGGTTTGAGATATCATATAATACATTATTTTAAAGTTAAACTTTGAGACTTATTATTGTATTAGGTAATTTAATTATTGTACGTAATTATTTATGGCAGTTTCTATTATCAATTCCAATTAAAAGTAGCGAATTGCACATTCAATTGATGAAACAAAACCCCAATAACAAGCACGAATCCGGAACGCAACTATATCGACTATCTGGCGGACATTTGGTGCGCTCGGTGCGTTGTTGCGATCTAAATTTTTAAATATAAAATTGGAACGAGGTGGGCAAAGCGTCGCGGGCGCAGTGCGGCGCGGCGCGGCGCGGGCTAGCAGTAGTAGGACGTGGAAAGGCCCAGTTTGCATGTGTAGGAATGAGACATACTGCTCCTGTTCGACACGTCCTTGTTCTCGCAGCGTTGCCCGTTGAATCCTTCTGGACACCTGGAACACATACAGCAATGTTAATAGGGAATATTGGATTAAAAACAAAACAACAATATGAATGCCAATAATCACATGCCAATAATTATATTAAGCTTACGTTTTGTGTATACAGAACATAAGGTAGATACTCACTTGCAAGCTTGCTCTTGAACTAATTCGAAATATAAACATGTACCGCCGTTGAGGCAGTACGAAGCCGGGTCCGGCATAGGACACGGCGCGCCCAGGGACGCTGCAAATTCAAATTATTACATTTAGCTAAACAAAGTCGACAATAATAATGTACACTAAGTCTACAACCTAAATTTCGAACAACGCAGTTTAGTTAATACACCATGATTTTTTCCAGTTTGTATGTGTCAATGTTTTGGCAGAGGAACCCTCGGTAAAAAACAACAACTGTCTATGGTTCTGTTGTACTATAGACATTAGCATTTTCTGCCACAGAGCTATAATGTCGCCATGTTCTTATGTAAGCAATTAACCTCATTATGATCGATTCAAAGGAAGACGCAGCCAGTGTCTCATGTAAAAGTGGTAACAATGCAGATCCCATTAGGAATCGGTTACCGGTTTTATTATTCATTAAAGGTAACTGATCATTCTATTGGCCTTCATAATAGCATTGTTAGAGATTCACGGAATCTACTGTAACTGTTTCCCATATGTGTTCGCGGTAAATGTACCCATGTCGAGCATCGGTAAACAACTAATAGAATACTCGCGAACGTCTGTCACAACATGTTATGAGACCTTACCATAAATAGTCGTTAGCAATGAAAATATATAGAAAAGTAATCGCAATGGTAAGAAATTAATTCTAATTTCAAAATAACGATGCCGTCTTCTTGAAGGAAAAATGTGATTGCATTACGTTTTCTATATATTATATATATTTATGTTTCCAGATTTGGAATATCAACACATTTGAACTTGAGCTGTATTTTAGTTGTTTGTATGGTAGTAAAATAAAATATTGAATGCAGAATTAGTACAATCAGGAAATTTAGGCTTAATATACAAGTTTGTATCTTAGCGTACGGCCTACATTACATACAAACATACGCACGCGTGCATACGATGTGTATCTCGTTGTAAAATGCGCGCCATAACCGATCCAGACTGGACGGAACGTTGCGTTGCCTTAAGTAAATAGTCATTTAGATCACATGCTATTATGGAACAGAATAAGAATTTAATTGCCGCTAATCTTCGTAATGTATAAAAGAACAGAGATCGATAAAATCTAAACAAGATTACGACTCGATTTCAAAGTATTATCACTAAATGAAAAGCCTAACTAAATTACAAAATATGTCACTATCTTCTTATTGCATAACGCTATCCCTTCTAATTGCGTAAGTTAATCCAGTATTCCAGTAAATTTCATGTCATGCAAAATATCCAATAAAGAATAGGAGAGGCGGGAGGTAAGTCTACGGGGTTTTTGATGAGCACTGACCTGTGTCTGTCGGCGTGGCGGCCGGCAGCAGTACGGTGACATTGGCGCTGGCGACGGCGGGCGGGCCCGTCACCCCCTGCGCCCTGCACTCGTACCGCGCCGCGTCCTCCTTCCGCGCGTGCCGGATCACCAGCACCGAGCGCCGTCTGCAAAATACAATAACGTCATTTTATTTCACATGAAAAGACTTATGAACAAGCAATTTTCCCGGTAGTATGACCAATATAGATATCTACGTCTAAATTAAACTAATGATTTGTAAATAATTTTCCGACTTTTAGTGTACAGAGAATATATAGTAACAGGATATTCCTTATACCTATTCGTTATTAAATTGTTACATTAGAGTTTATTTTTGAATACTTAAATACTGAGTAAATTAATCAGCAGCTTACGCACGCGGTCAATGACTAAATGTGTGATGTGAGAGAGGAGGCGCAGGACACGCGGGGGCTGTGACTAACAACTCACATAAATGTGTCTACATCTATCAACATGGATCTAATGGACAATAACCTTTCACAATAAATTGCATCTTCTTGTTACACAAATCGCAACGATTTCACTTGAAATATATTTAAAAAGACATTTATACAAGACTTTGCAAATCGTTTACAGAGTATATTGTGCCAAAAGTAAATTTAAAAATTATATTCTTTAAAATTTGAAAAATGAAAATGTTTTTGTAGATATAATATAATAGAAAAGTGGCAACACTTTTGTATTGTTAAATAATTTAACATTAGCAAGTGTACTTTTTACATTCGAGTAGTATCTCATAAAGACGTAACTTCAGTTGGAGGGCGTAAGTTAACAAAGCCCCTCACCTAAGTATAGACATATATTTCTGGAAAATGCCAGCCGCTCCTCAGAAACGGATTCCCGACGTCTGTCGTCGCGTCTGCGGGCAGCGCGCAAACTGTATCACTATACGATCCAAATCAATATTCCATCTTTAAGATCACTCCTAAAATTATTTTAATTTCAAACTTGGTATGAAAAATAGTTTAAATATAATTCGATCGCTCCTTATGTAGTAGATGTTCTTCGATTTAAATTGAGATTCTTAATAAGGTTAAAAAACCAAATGAATTAAAAGTACCGCGTAATTAAATCATATCCAGACAGGAAACTTCATCAACGATGATTTATTCTTATTTTAATAAATAACGTCTTCAAATAACTGCTTTAAATTATTATCTTTCGTAAATCATTTTATTACTGTAAGCAAAACGAAATTCAGTACCAACAACAATTCAACTTGAGTTTGACCGTTTTAATTATTTATTATGTATTTTATTATTTAAATGAATAACAAATATAAAGTCTGTTGAATATTTCTTTGATGCGAGTAATTTATTGTGATATTTTTAAACATCTTAATCTAATTTTAGAGTTAATTTATAACAGTTTAAACGTGGTTCATACGGCGTAAAACCGCGAACACATTGGGTCATAAATTGCGCTAACTACACTTTATCTATAATCGTAGCAATGGAATAACATAAAAAGTTAGTTATTATTATTTTATTCATATTTATGTAACATTGACTGCTTCTAATATTAAAAGAATATCATCAAAGGTCGAAATAGTAATTTAAAAGCAGAAAAAGTTTTGCAACTTTTTGCAATTTTGACAAATCACATGATGTTTTTTAACTCAATGCAGTCGTTCCAACTTATTTGACCCTTTTTGACTGACGTAACTTTTATCAATAAAAGTTTATACTGGTGGTTTAAATGACTTAATATTATAACATCATCATGAAATGTAACTTAACACAAGACGAGGTGATTGAACTGACGGCTAGTCAAAGTTCGTGTTTCGCTTCAACTTGGGCTAATATATTTAGTGCTCTTGCAATCAGCGACCCGTGACACTACTGTCTGGATCACTTCACACTAATTGCTTGACACAATTATTTCTTTTTGATCCGTGTACCACAAGTAATAAGAATCAAAATCCTCTAGCGCAAGATGACACGGCCAACTGACGTACCTCAGGTCGTTCGCAGGAGTCTGAACTTACGATTTGTTTGGATAATTGTTTATTGCTTGTAATGTGAGCAGCACATGTCTACGAGTGAATGTAGGTTGTTATTACAAATTAATATCAACACCTTTATAGACAATAATTAGGTCATTAGAATGGAGCCAATAATATTCTTCGCGTGTATAATTTGCTTAGGTTAGTCACCTGTAGTTCTGCACCCGGAATCTTCTGAGCGCGATATCTGCGACCGGCTTGCCGTCTTTGTACCAAGAGATGCGCGGCGGCGGTCGCCCGCTGGCGCGGCACTCCACACGCACGCGGCCACCGCGCGATACCCGCACGTCTGACATTGCCTCCACGCGCGCCGGACTGCCTGCGGACAACCAACACTTTACATTATACTATCAAATAGGGTAAACACAAAAGGCAAGATGATCTAAAAATTCAATTAATCTGTCTTTAAAAATACTATAATTACTGTATACATATACATACTATTACATTATATTATTTGAGGGTGCGAAAGACTATAAATCATATGGTTATGATGATGATGGTGCTCTAAATGTTTGCTGTTGTCACTGAGATTGTAACGTAGTCATTCGAAGGTAATCGTTTGAGTCTTAGAATAAGATTCATAAATTTCAGCACAAGCACGCCACTATAAACAAACGCTTAAAGGGGCAAATATCTCTAAAACATGACGTAAAAAATACATTTATTAAGAAAATATTAAACAGTTACATTTAAAATCGCCAAATTTGATCTTAAATAGTGTTTAATTGTCGACTGAAAGACATGACATCTGTTTTATCGCAAAACAAGATACGTTTGCCAAATGTTTGAAAAGATAAATACGTCCGAGATTTATAGGGAAAGATGTATAAACATAGCGCGAGAGTCCCTTACGATATTTTACCTTACACTCAGGACGAGACGACTCCGAAAATCGCTCACTAAAAATATCCAGCTGTCATTAGGCCAATGGCCTTATTATTTCAACGGACGAATAACATATGTACGGACAGGAATAGACTGCTAGTATTATCTAAAAGGGAGACAGTCGCTTGGACACCAAAAAAATTGGCTCGGTTTCTGTTAGAAAAACTTGTGTCTATAATTTATTCGAAGTGTTCATTCTGTTCTTTGGTGTGGGAATTAAGATGTTTTTAAATGACAGTTGTATATGATAACTATTATGTTAAAGAATGTATATAAACTACAAACATCACGAAAATACGAGATACTTTTAAAAAAAGCGTAACGCAATTATTCGAAAAAAATATTAAAAATGTTGCAATATGTAATTTCAAAAATATTTATTTTTTTGGGTTGATCAATATATATTGAGTCAGATACATTTAATTATGACAAATATATTTTTTTGTCAAAGTTACGAAAGTCCACTGATAAAATGGAGGTAACAAATAAACAATTAACATCTCGATGTCTTGTTGCGTTTTCCTGTTCTTTCAACAACTCATTTAAAATTATTCAAGGGAACAAAACAATCTATTTGTTGCATATTTCTAGGTTATTGTTTACGCTTTCCTCCATCTCAAGAACGAGGCGACACCCACGTGCACAGTTCAGACCTACTGAATAGATTTGATGACTTGATAACGAGATAAAAGTTATTTTTTTTATTTAGTATCGATATCCAGTGCGAAAAAACTGGTTCAAAAACGCGTTAATATTTCAAAGAGATGATGTTATATCATGTAAGTTTAAATTCAGAAGCGCGAGTAACCAAAGTCAATTCACTCAACTAACATTGTAATTGACTGTTGTTGTCAATATCGATTGCCTTACTAATATTATAGATGGTAATGATTGGATGGATGGATGTTTGTTAAATGGTCTATCCAAAACTGCTGCACGGATTTTGCCGAAATTTGGCATATAGTTTGGAGTGGCAATGACTAGTAATTAAGTTTTTTTAATCACAAGCAAATGGACTCGCGGGCGATAGCTAGTTTTGTTATATTTTTACTTTTAATGCTCCGTAACTATAGTAAGAACGGAAAATTTTAAAGCGCGTGCGGACACGTAGTACTATTGCTAGGTAAAAATCACGTGGCTTTTCTCCGCGCTCTCACCGCCTACAGTTCATTCATGTCTTCAACGAACTATTGAATTCCACGTCAACGTATCATTGCCAATAGCTCTGCCTACGCCGTTATGACCTCAACGATGGAAATATGAATGGAGAGACGTACGCACCTTTATGGCCAAGTAGGTGACACCGGGTACACGATCTACTAATGATCTTTTAAATTAAGAATATTTTTTTAAATATAGAACTTTTTCGTTTTCTAATATTATACGTATTTTAAACAGTTTACGAATTTATTATCGTAAGCAATAACGTAACAAACCTTCAAAGACTCAATTCGTTAATTTCGGATTCAATTCAGCTTTTCCTTTAAATTGTTGAATGATCTGAGACAGAAATAAACGCATTATAAGATGTATATGTCATCATGAAGCTGCAAATGTTAATAAACAAATATCCAGAATCCTTTTCTGGGTACCGTTTTTAGAATAAGTACAAAACAAATTTATCTAATTCAATTCCAGTACAGTAGAATGTAGGACTAATAATATTGCATCAAGATGGTGTAACATTATTGGTGCTCCTTGTACCGCCTTTCTTCTTCGTCATGTGATGATATAAAAAAAGTTGGCAGTTCACGGAATTACGTAGCATCGACATTCTTTTTAACTGATTTGTTGTGATCGTTTGCTTTGCACCCTATAAATAGTGTGAGTGTGAACGCATCCTGAACGGAAACGAAATGGGAGCGTCAGGTGAGACTGGACGGTGGCCAAGACACCGCGGTGACGACGTCGATACGATGACTTTTTTTTAAGAGCTCTTATCAAACAATTTATGGTTGCGCACAACATGGAAACTTTAGTCTCTAATCTATTAAAAATCTTTTTAGCTTAGCATTGCTATTACCCCTAAATCTAATTTACTTTATTCGTAACAATTTGACGATTTTCACTGTTTTGTGTTAAATGCTAAATTTTATTTTAGTTAGGACTATGTGGTTTAATTACAACGCATGAAGTCCTATTCGATTCTTTTAATTTTTAATTTCCATATCGACAAATAAATCGGCTGAAAAATTGTCAATTTGTACATTGGCACTGATTCATAGGAGTTATTACAGAAATATTAAAATGTTTGCCACCCCTATCGCAAAAGATTATAGGTACGTTTGCTTAAAATAAATAACAGGTCTATGAGTACACTTGTCCCAGCTGTTACACGTAAAAAGTCCGCGTGTGTAGCGGTGAGTCATCGCACATTTCTCCGAAATCACCCGGCGCTGATTTATATTTTTCATGCCAAATCCCAAGAAAATTTTCTCTCACGACCACGTATTGGCAAAATAGCTGCATTAATTACTGTAAATAAACGTCCCTACAGTATACATTATCAATATATTCTTCTGACATTACCGTGTGAGTTTATTGACCTTGCCGTGATCTCTGTCTGCCTAATTGAAAAAGTCGCTTTTATGTGTGCGAAATGAATAGACTATTTTAATATCGAACGAAGAAGCTTCTACAATCATTGTTCTGTTTCACTAATAATATAAACAAAGTAACACATTTCAGTAATCATATTAATAACATATACAAAACATAAATCGTCAGCTAAACATGCAGTAATTTTGCTAGCAACAATATCTTTAAATCGTAAGCTGTTTATTGTATTGACAAACAAACAAACTGAACAAAAAACACGGCGAGCGAGAGACGTTGTGTCGGAGTCGCAGAGCGGCGTAGTAGCGCAGGCATGTACTACGGCGGTAGTGCCGCGCGTAGGTTTTTGCGGCCCGCCTCGGCCTCGGCTCTCGGGGTTCGTTTTTTTTCACTTAGCGCCCGGTTTGGCGGCAACACCATAAACAGTTACTCGCGAGGCAACCCCGTCGGATTGTTTTTAAATGACCACTACCGAGCAGTGCGTAACACTGTATACGACTGACATATGTGCGAGATATTTTAAATGTTTTTTAACTTTCATTTTTGTAAGATATGTAAATGGGTGTCGTTTTATATTCAATACCTGGATTAAAGTAAAGAATTTGATTTGTTATGATCATTTAATTGCTCATTTTCTAAGGTAAAGGTAAACCTTACCTGATTGGAACAAATAAGAGACAAAGTACCCAGTTTTACTAACGTATACGACTATTCGACTACTATTTATTATTGGAGGGTTCAAAACACTTCATTATTTAATAGAATCAAAATGAAGTTTCCCAAAAGTGCATAATGACAGCCTTTTATACTAATTCAATCATTTTAAGTTATTACTTTGATCGCGGTATCATATCTTAAAATTAATTCGATAACGTGCACTTGTTTCTGGCGCATGCATTGTAGTCGGCAAAATCAATAAGATCTTTTGTTGATCCGCACATGGCGCGGAGTAACGATAAGCGCATCGCAATATCCCATACCGGCTGTAGACAGTAAAAGTATACGTTTATTTGTTGCCGGTTTTTTTGCATAATGTCTAAATTCAGATTTTCCTTATAAAACACAAGATTCGCTTTACGTGGAAACGTCGCTCGATTCGCAACGGTGAATTATTCTACACGTGCAACAGACGCCAATTTAAAACGGGGCTGTGAGTAACGCACACATCAGGTGTGTTATTTGCTTTTATATAAGTAGGTATGGCTGTATAACTTGAAGTATGTTTGCTTGAAATTGGAAACGATAAGTGAATGTGACGATGATCATCTGATGTCGAGGTGTACCGCGATGTATTCCATCCGTCCTTCACAGACTAGTCTAGTTTTTACATATTCCTTTTTTATTAAAAAGTTAATTGTTTTTATGTATACGATCGGCAATGATGATGAAGTGTCGTCGCATGCTACAAATGCAATATGAATTCGATACCCAACAAGCTAAAATTTCTAAAATGTAATTTTAAGCTAATCCAATGCTACCTGGGGGCTGCAAGCCCATTTAAATATTCCGTGTTCAGTGGTAGCGAATTATGGCACAATTCTGTCGGATTCCAGGGATCACCTCGGGTAGGGCTTGTTGCGTGCGCGACGGGACATTAACCCATTTAGGAAATATTTTGAGGTTCGATGACTCGACGTAGAGGTCGTCGTTTGCAGACGGTCACAGGATGAGTCTGATTGCTGATTTGATCAGAAATTACTGTTAGAAATTCGCCGGGATCAGCTAGGTCTGCAAATTAAAATGTGGTGACGAATAACTCCTTTATAAACATAACTTCGTATACATTATAATTGTTTGAGAGATTTGTTACTCGTCCTCAAATTACGTAAGTCACTTTAGTTTGATTACGTGTAAACGAATAATGTAGAAACATTT